TTAACTTAACCCTATCCGTAAGGCATTTGTAAATTGAGGAGTCGTCCTGCTGTCTGGAATAGAATCAACATGATTGATGATGCGCAGTTGCTACTGCTAATCCCATACGTATATGCAGTAGGTAATTATATGCGTAATGCATATACATCGCACGCACGCACGCTGGAGCGAGACATGCACACGCACGCACGCACGCGACGGACATGCACACACGCGCGTAACACACCACGCACGCACGCACGCACGCACGAGAACATGGCACACGCGCATAGCACACACACACACAACAAACACGAGCACGCACGCACGACACGCACGCACGCACGCACACAAACACACACATATACATACATACAACACGACGCCAAACGAACACAACACACACTTACTGTATTCTATTGTTCTGCAGAACGTGTGCGTCAGATGTTCTCCATGAATCGATTCCTTGTCATAGGCCAAAGTCGGTCCCCAGTTTTCACGTGACCTTGCGGAAGGCAGAGAGAAAACCCGTTAGCCACACTGTGTTACGACCTCCCCCACAGACGACACAGCACAGCGCGGCAAGGCGTTGCCTGCGATGCGTATCAAACTGCCTGCGTCAACGACGCACGCAATAGCTTACGCGACAGAATCTCACAAGGTCTAGTAATGTATTCCGAGTGATGATGACATTCAATATAATCAGATGAATTCAATGAATTGTTTAGTGACTTGATGATTCAATGCAAATAAACATGCGACTGATTTTACATGGGAATGGAAAGGCATCCCTCCCCGTAGGAGGGGGTTTGCGAGCGGGCACCTCAAGAATATTTTGATATATAATGGATGCTCTGTAGTACATATACTGGTTTACTGATTATGATCCTGATATAAAACCAGATATGATCCTGGGACCATGAACCGTGGTATCTGAGCATCAATTCCACTCAACACTAATTCGAACACCCTCAATCCGAAAAAACTTTTTTCTTCACGAATTTACACTGATCTAAATAAAACAGACATCGTGGCAACGAAAAAAACAAGGGAACAACCGAGAAAAACACTTATCCACGCGAAAACCCAACTCATCCTCACTCCATTCCCATTCCGTGACCGTGTTTGCGCTGGGTATAAACGTGCCCGACTTGAATCAATGAATGTGACCACACGCACGTCCACGGGCAGATGTTGTCATGCATGATCAATCGCCACGCATTCCGTCCTGGGCACGAGCTATACCCCGACACGCACGGTCGAAGAAAGGGAACGAGTGTTCCCCGTGGGTCGGCGTTGTTGTTTATCGTTGCCACTAGGGCCGTTTTTTTTCAGATCAATGTAATTTCGTGGAGACAATGTTTTTTTAAGGACAGTGGGGTGTCAAGAAGCATGTTTTGGGGTGGAGATCGACAATCATACGCGCCAGGCATGTACCACAAAAGAGATCCACTTATCAAATTACGCCCGACGACGGGTGCGGGGGCGGCGCGGCTCACCTGAGTGATCGAGGAGAATGTTTTCGGGCTTAGGATCTCGATAGATGATGCCCTGCGAGGTGTAGATGCTCCAACGCCAGCGTGATCTCGGCGAGATAAAAACTGTCGAGAGAGAGAGAGAGAGAAACACACAACGTGAATTAGCGACTAAACATTTCCAGCTTCAGCGACTAGGTAACCGACGGCAACGGGAGGCTCGCGGGAGGGAGGCGCCGTTAGACGGATTAACGAGATATTCCTTGATGTGCGCACATCCAAATCGAGACGCGCGCTGAGATGCTGCGCTGAGGCGCAAAACCGAGACGTAAACCGAGACACGTGCCGAGACGTAAACCGAGACACGTGCCGAGACGTAAACCGAGACACGTGCCGAGACGTAAACCGAGACACGTGCCGAGAAGCAAACGAGGACACGTGCCGAGACGTGAACCGAGACACGTGCCGAAGACGCGAACCGAGACCACACCCGAGACACGCACCGAGACGCCTGCCTCGCTCGCTCGCTCACCACGCCCGTGTCCTCGCATGAAGATGCCTCGCGGGGGTCGAGGTGCATGAACAGCTCTCCGCCGACAGGTACTCGAGGATCAGGTAGAGCTCGCCGCCCGTCTTGAAACGCGTAGATGAGGCTGACGATGAACGGATGCTTGACGGCCTCGAGGATGTTTCGCTCGGCCTTCGGTGGTGCCGCCGTGTTCTTCTGGTTCCGCACAATGCTTGCCTGCAGAAAGAGAGAGAGGAGGTGAGAGAGAGGTGGGTGAGAAGAGGGGGGGAAGGAGGGGGGAGGAAGAGAGAGGGGGGGAGAGGGGGAGGAAGAGAAGTGGGTGAGAGAGGGGGAGGAAGAGAGAGAGGGGGAGAGGGGGAGGAGAGAAGTGGGTGAGAGAGGGGGAGAGGGGAGGAAAGAGAGTGGGGTGAGAGAGAGGGGGAGAGGGGGAGGAAGAGAAGTGGGTGAGAGAGAGAGGGGAGGAGAGAAGGGGGAGGAAGAGAGAGAGGGTAGAGAGGGAGGAAGAGAGTGGGTGAGAGAGAGGGGGAAGAAGAGAGAGAGGGGGAGAAAGAGAAAGGAAGGGAGTGAGAGGTGGTGGTGAGAGAGAGAGCGAGAGGGGGAGAGGGGTGAGTCACAAACATAAGGAAGAGAAGGGAGGAAACAATAGGTTAGTAGACATTCTACACCACAGGACCCAAGAGGTGGGTCATCAGTGACAACAAACAATTGGAGAACTAACAACATTTTCAAATATTAACATACCTTTTTTAGAACTTTCATTGCAAATATCTTGTTAAGGTCCATGCCTTTAATCTTCTAACTTGAAACACCTAGAATTATATTTACAATAACAGTGTCAGACAATTCAAGCAATGATCAACGATTACGTAACAGCATGATCCAATCTAAATATAATGCTTTCGTTTTTTACTTCCTACTGTTGCATAATTTCTTTATGCGGTTTTTCTGAAAACTAAATAACTAGTCAATGCTGCAAAAAACATGAGACCACAGATGGATACTACACAAAGGAAGGTTTTTTAATAATCAATAGCTTTAATATAATATTGGCCTCTTTAATCCATTCATATCAGCTAAACGTTTGCACATTGGTTGAAGAGCAGCTTACAGACCAACTCTGTACTGTACGTAGTACAACACGTGCCATCCACGCACTACCCACAGGCTAACGTAAATTATATACAGCCAAAACCAATAACAGAGAGAGAGAGAGAGGAGGGAGAAAGAGAGCGAGAGTTAAAAGTAAGCAAGGCCAGCTTTAGACGGGCGACGGGCGACACGTGTGATCATAGGTAAAGCTCATCTCTGCTAGCTACGCTGGGCCAGACTAACGTGCGTGCGCAGGTTTGCTTTGCGATTGTGACACAGATAAAACGACCGTGTGAGCTTGGCCTAAATTCAATGACGTAGTGCGAGCGTACAACGCACGAGGTTTTCACGAAATAATTACTGTTCGCTGCTGGCTTAATCGCATGTCGTCACGGTAATGATTTTCCTCAAGAAACTGTGCTAAACCCATCAAAGATTTATACGCTAAAACACAAGCGAATCTCCGCCAAACGATTTGCGTTTCAGTGCGTTATAGAGAGTAAGCACACACCTAGCTGCTCTCATATATATACAAAAAATTTCCCACACGAGCAGGAAATTGTTGTTTAAACGTTCCACATCGTCAGCGAGGCGATATCCATTTTAAGTTTAACGATTTATTGAAGTAGAGCAAACAGTACGAAACAGAACGGTGTAACATACCGTCAACTGATGCTCAATTTCCTGTTGTACAACGATGATAATTTGTGCAAGTGTTTCTGCGTTTGAAAATCAAAAGGGGGACAGAAGTGCAATCAATATGCACATTACGGAATTTACATCACACATTTTACTGAGACCGAAGTTACACTGCAAAGCGTGGAAATGCCAAAAAATATTAGACATGTAACAAGTGCTTAACTGACTGTGACACAAGCAGATTATTTACTTAATACTTGGAATTGACTCCCTACCTTTCCATAGCCTCCTTTTCCAAGAACCTTTAGAAGTTCAAAGTGTTCTGGACCTATTTTCTCATTGATCGACGTATTCACGGTCTTCTCTGATATTTCAATGGTCTCTAACTGTTCCTCACTGTAAACAGATGCAACGTTAGTAATGCAGCGTGTTATGTACACCCACACGTGTTCATGCATGCTCACGCACGCACACACACGTTCACTCACGCGTCACGCCTACACATGCATGCACATGCATGTTTACACATACCTTCTCACAAGCATGTGCACACACGCACGCATGCTCGCACATGCACACGCACACGCACACGCAGACACACACACACACACACACACGCACGCACGCACGCACGCACGCAAGCACGAACGCACACACACACACACACACACAAACATACACACGTGAATGCAATAATACAATGATTCTATTCCATATTCCCTGCTAAGAATCGTAAGATGAATCAATAGATTTAATGCATCTAATGCGACCACATTGTCTATGCAATAAATCGCACATCATGACTCTTGTCGAATACACAGCTTATGATAGAAAATCACGACTGATACAAAGTTTGAAGAAGACTGAAGCCATTGACGTTGTACGTTTATGTGTATCATGTTAAATACAGGGTGCGAAATTAACGCGAGTCCGGAGTCAAATACTCCCTGATTTACTGTCGGACTCCCTGATTTGACATATGCAGGAGTCCGTGTGACTCCCTGAAAATTCTGCTATACTAACTAGTTCATTCCAGAGCGGACTCCCTGATTTGACATATGCAGGAGTCCGTGTGACTCCCTGAAAATTCTGCTATACTAACTCGTTCATTCCAGAGCACGGCCTCGCGGAATGTTCCAGTATATGCCCAAAGAGAATTTGGCAGACGGGCAACCTCATGAATCTTCATATATGCGTTATTGTTTTCTTTAGTTTTGAACTTCAGACTGCAGACTCCCTCTTTTTGAGGGGCAGGGAGTCCACCCCATGGAGCTCCTTGTTTGCACAAGCTTAATTTTCTACCACTGTATAATAGCAGTGGCTCGAATATAAGAAAAAAAGTGGTTGTTGCCTGCAGACAACACCGCGTCTAAATCGGGTTGTCTGCAACAATTTATGGGTTGTCGCAAAAAATATCCGCGCAAATCTCTCTATTTTCAATCACATATAATAAATGAACTCAGAAAACACCCCACAAACAGTGGGTAGCCAGGAATTCTTTTAACACGGGGGCCAAAACAGCGAAACTGTACAAAATAGTGGGTGACTTAATATTTTACTGGCTCCTCGCCTCCTCCTCCACACCCTACGGCTCCTCTACCTCTCAGCTCTGCAATCTTTATTTTGGGCGCCATGCGAAAAGGCGAATTTTTGTTCATTGTTCTCTGCTCCCAAGATATGTAATTGTTCCTGTGCGGAGGTCTAGGATTCCAAGGAGGGGGGGGTGAAAAACAGGCTGGGGGGTATGGGGTTCTCCCCAGAAAATTTTGGAAACTTTGCTGCGTTTGCTGGTTCCAAATTGAGTTCAGCGGCTCTCATAAATCAGAAAACCTGACATTACCAATGTTGGAAATAGCAGCTGTCGGCCATATTTTTATATTATTGCCGGATTTTAATTCGCGATTAAAATTTCTTGAAGAGGCTAGAAAGACACTCGGAATTCTGAAGTATGAAGCTGAAATTATTTGTGCCAGCTAGCTACACGCAGTTTGGTTGGGATTGTTATTGTCAGTTCAGAAGCAAAATATTGAAGCGCAAAAGGTTATACACCATAGATTAATTGGGCCGTACCACGCGTATATAAAGATAGCCGAGTCGGTTTAGAGTTTAGTGTTAGGTTTTAGGTAATTCTTGGTTGTCGCACCGGGCAATGGTCTCAGACTTGTTTACGGTTGTCCGGCGAAACTTCTTGTTTCAGTCTGGCAACGGGACACGCTTAATGTTGAGCACTGATATATATATACTATAATATAACAGTCTCGCGCAAAGTACAAAATTCTTTCTGGAGCATTCGGTCCAGTAAAAATAGATTTTTAGCCCCAGACCGAAATGGATATGTTACTGGAGGCCAAGAAAAATATTGAAACATTTAAAAGCACAGTTCACATCTCTGTTGGGGCTTTTTCTTGTGACATATCTAACACATATATGCTTTCGCTGCTCATCAGCCAGCTATGTCTGTTGACCGTCATGGGAGATCATAAAGCTGAAAAAGCTAGCACTCCGCTTATTCTTTCATCATTTCCGTGACGCGTCACAATCAGCATGCCTTGCTTGGCCAGCTTCTGCTCATTGATGTAGGTTCTGGCACCCCTAATTTCTAGGTGCTTTGGCCTTGTCCGTTGTGTGATTCCTAGGTATACATGCAGTGATAGTAATGATAACAACTTCGCCATGATAGTTGAAGCGCACGCACGTCGCATTGTCATCATTTTCCTTATTTTATCATCATAGCAGCAATCGCTAGTCGGGCCTTTGCCGACAGCATAGATTAATTCTGGTACGCACTGGTATATAAATAGCGCATATGGAGGGGTATTAGGGTTCGGGGCGAGTGTGTGGTAGCTGACGTAGCTCGTGCCTGCTGGCGTGAATTAGTTGATATGAAGCGTTACGCGACCACGTCTGGTCTGGTAATAGCCAAATTTTCTGTCCGGACGCGGCGTGCAAAAATCAGCGAAATTTGTCGGCGACGGTGCCGACGGCTTTTGGCGAGGACTGAATATAGATCTCATATTAATCAAGCGGCAACATATAGTGTTGGCCAATAGCTCACGATTCGTCATATAGTTTCCCACGCAATGATCATCTGTTGGTCGCGCAAAAAGGAAAACAAATTATATTATAATGTTAGAGTAAAAACTTTACTTGACAAATATGCAAACTGACTGAACTCAAACAGCAGTGACGAGATAATGCGTAATAATTGAGGAAAACTGAGAGAAATGAACAATAACCACACTGGTCATGTAAGCTACAGTTAATTAATAGCAAATAATTGAGTAAACCAGTTTCATTACGCGAGGAAATAGAATGGCCAATCATAACAAAGTGAGTAACACTAAACAGCAAAATAAGTTGATATCTGAAACCTGCTTCATGAAAGATGCTAGCAATGGCCAAACTGAGTAGTGATAGCATTACACTATTATAAGACTAAATGCAATATGCAAACAGCGCCGTTTTGTCCGGCTCCATTTCTGTGTCACAACGCTTACACAAGGGCTTAAATTTTTGTCGATAGCTGCTACCACGCGGCGATACAAATTTGGCATGTTCGTACATGATAGTGTGGATTCCAATGCGCGGTGCAGGCAGTACATATATGCAACTCCAAGTACATTTCATCTGATAAATACGCAGTAAATATCTAGATAATATTAGTACTACTCAGTAGTGCGTAGTGGTCTAATGACTAATGTCGTAATGATTTTTACATTATCACAATTAACGGCAAAAAAAAGTCAAATACACTTTGCGCCAGATTGTGAACTGTGTCAAGTCTATTTAACGACCGCTAATTATTGACGATTACGTTAAAATCGTAAATACAAAGGTATGTGAACAGTTATTTTTACATGTAAGGATTAACAGAATAGATCAACTTAAGAGCGATATGGCGCTGCGCACAGTAGCGCGTACGAGTAAGCTTGTACTTGTATTGTAAGTGTAACTTGTCAAGCTTGTAGCAAATTACTGTGAGGGTTTGGCACGCAATTGGACCGTTGCCAATGGCCTTATTTTTTTACCTCAGTCTATTCACACATGCGTTATTTTCTCACGCGGGGTACATATAAAGCATGAGAAGAAAGTTTGTAAGATAACTATGCAATAATTAGCAGATGGAAATAGAACGGTGTCTTCTGATTACGCAAAGCTATGTCGGCGCGTGCTTCGGCAATGCCGAGGAAAGAAATAGCAGCGCTGATCACAATTCTATATTCGTCGTCGGATTCTAAGCTTGCAATCTTGCTCAATATCTTCGGCTAGCTCTAGCCTGGAATACGGTGGTGGCCATGCGTTCTACATGGATGCTAAGCAGGTGGTCACAATATGTGATAAAAGCGGCGGGCCTCTGCGCTTTATAAGTAAAACTAAAAGAAGAGTAGATAAATGCACAGGTGCACACTGTATGATTACTGGGCCTCATGTCGTCATCGACTTGTGTGCACGGCAAGATGCTCTTTTGGATGAGAGGGGGTAGATGCGGGCGAAAGGCTGTTGTTGTTTTGTGTTTTCGCGATTTCTTTGCGTTGTGATTGTTATGAAATAGCTTAAACCTATAATGTTTATAATTTATGAGTGCACTAATTGTTTCTTCAAGAATGAAAGTAATCAATAGCATATAGGACATGTATGTAGTAAGTTTGCGTCGTATATCTAGCATAAACCGGCACACAGGCATGCATTTTGAGGGCTGATGGGTGCTAATTCCGAATTCGTGCAGGCGTCAGTGCATTCA